CTATGGGGCCACAAACCGTGTGAGGGGTGCGCCGAAATGGGCCTGCGGTGGACGGGGAGGACGCATGCGAACTGTGCCACTGGGGCCTTCGGTGGAGCTCCCTATGGAGCCACGAACCGTGTGAGGGGTGTGCCGAAATGGGCATACGGTGGGCGGGGAGGACGCATGCGGACTGCGCCACTGGGGCCTTCGGTGGAGCCCTATGGGGCCACGAACCGTGTGGGGGGTGTGCCGAAGTGGGCCTGCGGTGGGCGGGGAGGACGCATGCGAACTGTGCAACTGGGGCCTTCGGTGGAGCTCCCTATGGGGCCACGAACCGTGTGAGGGGTGTGCCGAAATGGGCATGCGGTGGGCGGGGAGGACGCATGCGAACTGCGCCACTGGGGCCTTCGGTGGAGCTCCTTATGGGGCCACGAACCGTGTGAGGGGTGTGACAACATGCTCCTGCGGTGGGCGGGGAGAACGCATGCGAACTGTGCCACTGGGGCCTTCGGTTGAGCTCCCTATGTGGCCACAAACCGTGTGAGGGGTGCGCCGAAATGGGCATGCGGTGGGCGGGGAGGACGCATGCGAACTGTGCCACTGGGGCCTTCGGTGGAGCTCCCTATGGGGCCACGAACCGTATGAAGGGCGTGCCGAAATGGGCCTGCGGTGGACGGGGAGGACGCATGCGGACGCCCCCACTGGGGCCTTCGGTGGAGCTCCCTATGAAACCACGAACCGTGTGAGGGGTGTGCCAAAATGGGCCTGCGGCGGGCGGGGAGGACGCATGCGAACTGTGCCACTGGGGCCTTCGGTGGAGCTCCCTATGGGGCCACGAATCGTGTGAGGGGCGTGCCGAAATGGGCCTGCGGTGGACGGGGAGAACGCATGCGGACACCGACACTGGGGCCTTCGGTGGAGCTCCCTATGGGGCCACGCACCGTGTGAGGGGTGTGACGACATGGGCGGTGGGGACGATGATGATGACGACGATGAGGAGGAGGATGTGGATGAGGATGATGCTGCAGATGATGATGCTGATGGATGATGGGTGATGGTGATGATGGTGACGATGGTGTGGGGAAGGGGAGGGGATGATGGTGATGATGATGATGCTGCTGCTGCTGATGATGATGACGATGATGATGAGGATGAGGATGAGGATGAGGATGAGGATGAGGATGAGGATGAGGATGAGAATGAGGATGAGGATGAGGATGAGGATGAGGATGAGGATGAGGATGGGATGAGGATGATGATGATGATGATGATGATGATGATGATGATGATGATGATGATGATGATGATGATGATGATGATGATGATGATGATGATGATGATGATGATGATGATGATGATGATGATGATGATGATGATGATGATGATGATGATGATGATGATGATGATGATGATGATGATGATGATGATGATGATGATGATGATGATGATGATGATGATGATGATGATGATGATGATGATGATGATGATGATGGTGATGGTGATGGTGATGGTGATGGTGATGGTGATGGTGATGGTGATGGGAAGGGAGGAGGGAGAGGAGGAGAGGAGGTGGGACGCGGGGCGCTGTCTCTTCAAAACGAGGACCCAACACCACAGAATGGTTCGGACAAAAAACAAAACCACATTAGCCTGACGAAGGACCCATGGGGCCACGAAACTTGTGAGGGGTGCGCCGAAATTGGTGGCGCGGACGAATGTGGACACCGCCACTGGGGCCTTCGGTGTAGCTCCCTATGGGGCCACGAAACGCTGCCCTGGACAAGGGAGACGCATGCGAACTGCGCCATTGGGACCTTCGCTGCAGCTCCTTATGGGGCCACGAAGCGCTGCCATGGGTGGGGGGAAACGCATGCGAACTGCGCCTCTGGCGCCTTCGGTGGAGCTCCCTATGGGGCCACGAAGCGCTGTCCTGGGTGGGGGAGACGCATGCGAACACCCCGGTTGAGGCCTTCGGTGGAGCTCCTTATGGGGCCACGAAACGATGTCCTGGGTAAGGGAGACGCATGCGAACACCCCCACTGGGGCCTTCGGTGGAGCTCCCCATGGGGCCACGAAACCCTGCCCTGGGTGGGGGAAACGCATGCGGACACCCCCACTGGGGCCTTCGGTGGAGCTCCCTATGGGGCCACGAAGCGCTGTCCTGGGCGGGGGAGACGCATGCGAACACCCCGGTTGAGGCCTTCGGTGGAGCTCCTTATGGGGCCACGAAACGATGTCCTGGGTAAGGGAGACGCATGCGAACACCCCCACTGGGGCCTTCGGTGGAGCTCCCTATGGGGCTACGAAGCGCTGCCCTGGGTGGGGGAACCGCATGCGGGCACCCCCACAGGAGCCTTCGGTGGAGTTCCCTATGGGGCCACGAAACGCTGCCCTGGGTGGGGGAACCGCATGCGGGCACCCCCACTGGGGCCTTCGGTGGAGCTCCCTATGGAGCTACGAAGCGCTGTCCTGGGTGGGGGAACCGCATGCGGGCACCCCCACTGGGGCCGTCGGTGGAGCTCCCTATAGGGGCCACGAAACGCTCCGCATGCGGGCACCCCCACTGGGGCCTTCGGTGGAGTTCCCTATGAAGCCACGAAACGCTGCCCTGGGTGGGGGAACTGCATGCGGGCACCCCCACTGGGGCCTTCGGTGGAGCTCCCTATGGGGCTACGAAACGCTGCCCTGGGTGGGGGAACCGCATGCGGGCACCCCCACTGGGCCCTTTGGTGGAGCTTCCTATGAGGGTTACGAAACGCTGCCCTGGGTAGGGGGGCATGCCGGCACCCCCACTGGGGCCTTCGGTGGAGCTCCCCATGGAGCTACGAAACGCTGCCCTGGGTGGGGGAACTGCATGCGGGCACCCCCACTGGGGCCGTCGGTGGAGCTCCCTAGGGGCTACGAAACGCTGCCCTGGGGGGGGGACCGCATGCGGGCACTGCCACTGGAGCTTTCGGTGGAGCTCCCTATGGGGCTACGAAACGCTGCCCTGGGTGGGGGTACCGCATGCGGGCACCCCCACTGGGGCCTTCGGTGGAGCTCCCTATGGGGCTACGAAACGCTGCCCTGGGTAGGGGAACCGCATGCCGGCACCCCCACTGGGGCCTTCGGTGGAGCTCCCTATGGAGCTACGAAACGCTGCCCTGGGTGGGGGAACCGCATGCGGGCACCCCCACTGGGGCCGTCGGTGGAGCTCCCTATAGGGGCTACGAAGCGCTGCCCTGGGTGGGGGAACCGCATGCGGGCACCCCCACTGGGGCCTTCGGTGGAGCTCCCTATGGGGTTATGAAACGCCGCCCTGGGTGGGGGAACTGCATGCGGGCACCCCACTGGGGCCTTCGGTGGTGCTCCGTAAGGAGCTACGAAACGCTGCCCTGGGTGGGGGAACCGCTTGCGAGCACCCCCACTGGGGTTTTCGGTGGAGCTCCCTATGGGGCCACGAAACGCTGCCCTGGGTGCGGGAACCGCATGCGGGCACCCCCACTGGGGCCTTCGGTGGAGCTCCCTATGGGGCTGCGAAGCGCTGCCCTGGGTGGGGGAACCGCATGCGGGCACCCCCACAGGAGCCTTCGGTGAAGCTCCCTATGGGGCTACGAAACGCTGCCCTAGGTGGGGGAACCGCATGCGGGAACCCCCACTGGGGCTTTCGGTGGAGCTCCCTATGGGGCCACGAAACGCTGCCCTGGGTGGGGGAACCGCATGCGGGCATCCCCACTGGGGCCGTCGGTGGAGCTCCCTATGGGGCTACGACACGCTGCCCCGGGTAGGTGGAACGCAGGGAAGAGAGGGGGAGGAGGGAGGAGCGGGAGGAGGAGGGGGAGGAGGAGGAGGAGGAGGAGGAGGAGGAGGGCGGAGGAAGGTGGGACGCGGGGCGCTGTCTCTTCAAAACGACGACCCAAGACACCACAGGATGGTTGGGAAAAACTGAAAATCTACGATTTTGCCCTCCTGGGGCGCTGTTGGTCGGCATATTAAAAGCCTCCTGGGGCGTCTTGGGAACCTCAGGGGCAATTCAAAGCGCATCGTGTATCGACAGAGACCCCTGGACGGCGTCTTGGGGGTGTCTCGAAACCGTTTGGGGCCGCCGAAATTGTTGTCTGAGGGCTCCCCCGGGCGATTTTAAGCCTCCCAGAGGCGGGCCTCGGCCCCGGGACCCACATTTGCGGTCGAGGTTCCGGCCCTCGGCCCCCAGGCCCAGTGCGCCCTTATATGCATATGACATGATTGCTGGGGATCGCTACCACGCCAAGCTGCAGGTTCGAAAATCGACGATTGGCAGACAGGAGCACCCGTCCAGCAGACACGCTGAAAGCGCAGACGACGAAAGAACACGCGGGGAGACGCCACCTGGCTCCGGGCTGCGCCCCGTCGGAACGTTCCCCCCCTTCCTCCCTTCTTCCCTACAATAGGAATAGGAGGAGAAGGAGGAGGAGGAGGAGGAGGAGGAGGAGGAGGACGAGGAGGAGGAGGAGGACGGGAAGGAGGAGGAGATGACGGGAGATGACGGCGAGAGGTATCCGACGGTGGCCCGACTGACGCTCGCGTTACCCGGTCGGGCGGCCTCAGAAAGGCATCAGGTCGTCGATGACGCCGACCTGCACGTGCACGGCGCTCACCGCATCGCTCAGCCCGGCCCGCCTGGACTGGGGGCGCCCCCCAGCACTTCTCGCAGGCGGCGGGGGCCCGGGCGCCAGCGCGCCGCCTCCTCACCCGCACACCGCCTCTAGACCAACACGCCGCCACCAGGGCACGCCGACCGTCGGCCGATCAGACACCAGCCGACAATGCCGCAGCCAAACAAATGCCCTCAGCACCTCGCTCCCGAAGAACGACTCGCTGAGGCCCAAACACGACAAAGCGCATCCTCCGACTGGCGCACTCCGCCCCTCCAGGCGGCACGTTTTCAGGGCATGCGCGAGACTCTGCCCCGACCCACGCTTCAGCCACCAGCACCAGGCCAAGCAATGGCCTCTCCGCCCTTCGGGCGCCTGCCTGCCTCAAGCCTCCGAAGCCTCGACCTCAGGTTGGACAGGTAGGTCCGCGCGTCGCGCCCCTCTCCAGTGGGCAAGCCGCGGCACGGCTCCAGCAGCGCACGCGACGCGCCGCTGCCCGACCAGGCCACGCACACCTGGCAGAAAATGGCGGGGCCCGCCCTGTGCAAGCGATGGCCCTGCACGTCCACCGCCGTGTCGCCCAGGGCCCAGAGCGTGGACGGGGCCTCGCCCAGGTCGCCTGGGCCCAGCGGCCCCTGGGAAGCGCACAGCGCAACCATGGCGAACGAGCCCTCTGCGGACGCCTGGACCCACGTCGCCCCCACGTGCTCGACGATGGATTCCGCCCTGAGCTTCGCCACCTCGCTCGCGCAGCATGGAGAGCGCAGGTGTTGCGCCCGCGGCGGACCACTGCTGGCCGCAGTGGATCTGCAGCACCGCCGACACAGCACGATCCTGCCGCCGCGCAGGATGACCAGCTGGCGCCGCACCACCGCCACGGGCGGCGCGCTCGGCAGCCCCTTGCAGGGCCGCACTGCCGAGTCCGTCGCCTGCCAGCTCGGGATCTTCAGCATGCGCCGCATTGCCCACGCGATGTAGGCCGCGACCTGCTTGTGGCACTCGATCTCGACCCCGCAGAAGTCGGCGTAGCCCTTCAAGACCGCGCGGGCCCTGGCCCCCTCCTTCGCGAAGAAGTCCGCCAATCTGTTCCCCATGAACAGGGGGGGTGCAGCCCGCGCTCCTGGAACTGCTTGAGCTGAGTGTGCGCGGGAATCCAGCACGCCGCAGGGCGCGCAGGCTGCGCGCGCAGGCGCCGCCTGACCGTGGCATGCGTCGCGCCAGCCCGCTCGAGCTCCGCGCCCCAGGAAGTCGCCTCCTCGACGAGCCCCAACAGGTCCGCGAAGACGACGTCGACGGCGGGCCTGCCGCGCCGCGACGAGAGGACCAGCAGCGCCTGCAGCAGGGCGCGCCGCTCAGCTCGCCCCGCCGCCTGGAGGGGGGCCAGGCAGCGGCCCGCACGCGGCACGCACAGGCAGTCCCTGCGTCGAGACCTGCACCGCTGCCCAGCCGCATCGCCGCAGCTCGGGCATCGACGAGGCCGGGCCCGCGCCGTCTGCGAAGACGACGTTGCCCACGGTCGCGCCAGGGTCGTCGCCCCAGTCGCCCCAGTAGCGCACCCTGACGGTGCGCTTCGCAGGCGGCACGCTCGGCGGCATGCATGGGAGGCAGGCCGACAGCGCAAACTCGCCCCAAGCCTGCGGCCCACCGCCCATATTGAGGCTCTGGTCGCGCACGAAGAACCAAGCCACGTCGCGCCTCTCGGGGAGCACACCACCCTTCTCCTCGCCCAGGAACGCTGGCTCCAGGAGCGTCTCGCAGCCGAAGAAGCGGTGCCCAGGGGTGTCCGACCCCGCCCAGGTGGCCAGTTTCGCATCTAGCTGCGCCTGCCTGGTCCAAGGCACCCCGGCCCAATGGACGCGCAGGCACATGGCCCCCGGGCCTTCGGCGACCGCAGCCCTGGGGCAGCCAACGCAGCGCCTCATCGCCCTCACCCAGAGCTTGGCCTGCTGGTCGCACTGCGGGTGGTGCTGGAGGATCTACCACCCTTGCCACCGCTCGATGCCCATGGCCAGGTGCATCCTGGCGTCTTTGGGCGACTCCGCCAAGAGATTGACATGGTTCTCGTCGTCCGGGACCCGCACCGTGGACGAGTGCACGAACCAGCCAACGCGCCGCAGCGTGAGGATCGCGGACGCGACGGGCCCGCGAGCCTGCGCTCAGCAGAGGGAAGCCACCAGCCTGGCCGTGGCATCGGCCCAAGCGTGGTGCAGGCGCGCAAGCGAGGTGCGCTGCTCCCACACCCAGCTGGCGCAGCGGCAGATCAGGTCACAGGTCGCCGCGTAGACGGGGTCGAACTCCTTGGCTCGCTGCGTCGCCAGAACGACCGTGACGCTCGAGGGCCCCTGCCTGGCCCCGACCAGCAAGCCCGCTTTGCCCCTGAACTTGCCGAGCGCGGCGTCGGTGACCCCTGACACTCCCGCGCCGCGCGCAGCGCTGGGCGAACCTCCTGCCCACCGCCTTCTCGAAGAGCAAGAGCCCGCCCCCGCGCGCAGCCAGCGCCTTCGACCGCTCGGCGGCCTGGCGCCGCACCTTGCGACGGCCGCAAAGGTCATGGCCCAGCTTCCAGACCCAGCACCTGCCCTTGAGTCCTCGCGCTCCGCCACGCCGTCGACAGCGCTGCGCCGCGGCCGAGGCCGGGGTGACGTAGCCAGACCCCTCTGGATGATGATGCCGAGCTCACGGGCGCCCTCGCGGAACCTGGTGACCGCAGCCCACAACCTGTCGAGTGCGGGCACCCGGAAGTCGGCCACGCGCAGGGCAACATCGCCCATCAGCGCTCCGGGCACCACACCGAGGCCACGAATGCTTCGAAGCAGCCTGTGGAGCAGGAGCGAGACCATCGCACAGGCGTGCGCGCAGCCCGCCAGCACCCCATGCCAAGCGACCACATCGTACGAGATCGACCCGAACGCACATAGCCTCCTCGGCTGCCGATAGAGCTCCAGCAGCATCCAGACGGGGCGCAGCGGCATGCCCAGCTCCCGCGCCTCCACCAGCAGCGCCGCGGGGACGATCGCCTCGAAGAACTTCCAGGCGCCCATGAGCACCGTGAGCGCGCACTCAGCGAGCGCCGCAGAGATCTCCGTCTCAACGTTGCGGTCGAAGGCCGAGCCCGACGAGCTCCTGCCACCCCCCATGCCCCAGATCAGATGCCAGCGCCGGGGTGCACGGACAGCCAGGCTTTGGAGACACTGGCCCTCGCTCGCGACCACCGCCTGACCAACGTGCGCAGGAGCGCAATCAGACGGCACCCTCCAGTCGGCTCGGGCAGCCTGACCATCCTGCGCCAGATCCAGCCGTCGGGCCACGCCCCTACCTCCTCGCAGCACGTGAACAGGGTAGCCCACACATGGACCCCGACCTTCGACAAGTGCACCAGCGCCCGCACGCCGATGCGCGCGGGCCCAATCGCCATGGAGGTCGAGAAGGAAAGCGCAGCAGCCTGCAGCATGCCCACCCACTGTGAGCGTGGGGAGAAGCCCCCACTGGTCGATGTCGCGCGGTCTCTGAAGCTGCTCCAAATCATGGTACCTTCAGATGTTGGCCCACTCCTTCGCTTCCTTGTCGCAGGCGTTGACGGGGCTGGCGTTCCTCTCGCGTTCCGTCCGCCTGTGAAGCACCTGCTGCAGCGCACGGGGCCCGGTCGCCCTGTGCGCCCGACCAGTCCCCTTGAGGAAGCTGTCCTGGGCCCAGCGCACCCGCGCCTTCTGCTTGCTATCCATCGCCTTCCACGACGTCGCCCGCCACCCTGATGAAGTCTTCTCGCAGCAAGACGCGCACGGCTGCCAAGAGGAAGTCCTGCACCCACTGCGGCAGCATCGCGATGATCTCGCGGTGTCTCGCCACCTTGTCGAGGTAGCCGCTGGAGCAGGCCAGCTTGGAGCACTGCATCGACGAAAGCACGCGCACAGCGCCCGATGCTTACAGCAGGCGCGACGACTTGGCGACGAACGCACTGGCGCCCATCAAGCGACGCGCCCACCCCGCCGCAGCACGGCAGGCACCAGCTAGCGGGCCAGGCCGCGCCCGCCGCGCAGGCGGCCGCCACTTCGCGGGTCGCAGGGCCGTCGCCAGGCGGCCCGACCTGCCGACAAACTCGTGCATCTACTCTCCCACCTTGTCGCAGCGGCCCACTACGGCGTCCAGCACGGCGTCCCAAGCCTGCACGAGCCAGGAAGTAGTCGATCGTCGACGCGTTTTCCAGCTGCGGGCGGCACGTGGTCTGCTTGGGCACAGCCCAGATGGCCCAGATGCCGTTGGCCTCCTCGCCCCACTGAGGCTCAAGCAGCTCCCGCGCCATGTTGAAATCGCCTCCGACGACCCAGTCGTAGCCCGCGGCGTTGAGCTGCACCAGGTAGAACACCAATGTGAACAGGGCCCCCTGGTTGACGACGCCGAACCCAGCGCTGCCGACCAGGTGGACAGAAATCATCACCAGTCCTCCGCGCGCGCCCCAGCGCACACGCGCGCGGCCGAAGAATAAGGATCCGTCGTTAAGGAAATCGGAAAGGAGGAAAAGGAGGAGGAGGAATAGGTCTGGCACATCCAAGGTTCGCCTGCCCAGCGGCCCACGATGCAACGGCAGCGCCACTTTGTTAACCGGAAGGGCCGTCGGGGCATCGAAAACCACAGAAAAAGGGAGAGGAGTCGACCCTGGCGCCCTCGACCAGAGCGGATACAGCGGGGGCCCATGCCCAGAAGCACCCTGCTTGCCTCCAGGGTGCCCTGGGTCGCTCACGTCGGCCTACCGCACAATGTCAAAATCGAGCAACCCCACTGGCTGGCCTGCTGTCACAAGCACGCTCGCATAGATACCGCAGGCGGAGCGCCCAGCCCGCTGTTCTGGACTGGCAGCGCGGCACCACACTAAGGAGGAGGAGGAGGAGGAGGAGGAGGAGGAGGAGGAGGAGGAGGACGAGGAGGAGGAGGAGGAGGAGGGCGAAACACAAGGCGAGCAGACGCGAACATGAAGAAGGAGAGGGGGACGGCAAAAGCAGCAGCAAGCAAGCACGTTGGGGGCGGGCGGGGGGCGGGGGAAGGGGCGAAGGTCGGCGGCGGCGGTCGGGGGGTCGTCGCGGGTCGTCGCGGGACTGGTGGTCGTCGCGAGTCGCCGGGTGACGGGCGGTCATCGCGGGCTGGGGGGGGCGGCGTGGCGGCCGTTCACGCGGCGCCCGCCACCTGCGCCGCTGTCGCCGCGGCCAGCCTGCCCGCGGGCGCTCCGCGTGGCGCCTGCTAGCGGCGGAGCACGGCACGCGCACTCTTCTTGTGAAGGAGTAGCGAGAGTCGCTGGGCGTGCTCCGCCGCCGCCTGCGCAGGGTCTTCCACAGCGGCGTCCGCCGCGCGCTTCGCCAGGGCGGCCAACGCGAGCCGCGCCTCCTTCCCCCATGCTTCACCGTGCGCCTCCATCACCGTCGGAAGGTGATGTCTGCCGCGCGGCAGCTGCGCGCCGCGTCGAGAAACTGGCACTTCTGCTACTCGTAGAGCTCGGCGGCGGCGGAGCACGCCCAGCCGGAGGCAGCTAGAATATCCCCCCGCAGCCCGGAGGCGCCCGCGAAGTCCAAAGCGGCCGGGACGCCGCTGCGCCAACGGAGGATGTACACGTCTGCTGGGCGCCAGGCGCCCTCGTCGAGCCCACCGCCGTTTTCCTCCGTCTCGGGGGCGGGGCTCTCGCCTCGCAGGCGGGGCTGCATCAAGCCCGGTCGCTCGAGCTCAGCGCCGCGGAAGCCTGCGGCCTGCGCGGCGAAGGAAACCTGGTCGCGCAAGGCATTGCGCCGCTTCGCGCGGTCTCCGCGGCAGGGGCACACCAGCGCGTGGTCCCCGTAGACGTCGAGGACGCCGTCGCGGGCTGGGCAGAAAGCCTCCTCGTCCGCCAACTGCACCCGCAGCCGCCTCTGCAAGGCGACCTGCATTAGGCCGCGCGGGAAGTCCGTGCCGACCTCGGCGCAAGGACGCGCCTGCAGCCAGCCGCAAGCGTCCTCCGCGCTGACCAGCGAAAGGTGGGCCCTGGTGGTGAGGCTGGCGCGTTCCCAGAGTTCGGCCTTGGCGGCTTCGTCTAATTTGTCAGAAAAACCGCGCTGGTCGCCGAGCTGGCCTGCGTCGAACTCGATCCTCCCCGCCTGCGGTAGCTGGGCGTTATAGGACGCCACGGCAGCGCCTAGCGCCGTCGGCGCCAGTGTCGTCGTCGGAGTAGCTAGCCCAAAGCTGCCGGCAGAGCGCAGAGCAGGCCGCGCGGGAAGCTAGGTAGGCGGCGGGTGCGTGGCGTTCCGTTGAGCTCAGCCCCAGGCCGCCTGCCTTGAGGGCGAGTTGCGCTTGAGCTCAAGAGTCGTCCGTCGGGGAGCTGCTGCTCACAAGCTCCAGACTGGCCCAGATTGCCTTGTCGAGAGCAATCAGCGTTTCTGTGTGCACGCTGGGCGGAACAACCAGCGCTGAGTAGTTCAGCCTGCAGAAGCCGGCGCAGTGTCGCAGCAGGTGGAGCGCGACTTGGACGTTCTGCAGAGCGCCGAACGCGTCGAGGAGCTCGGTGGCCTTGTCGATTCGCTGCTGGGTGTGCTCGCGGCAGAGGGCGTCATTGCCGATCGGCGCGCCCAGGAGTTCGCAGCACCATGCGGCAGCCAGGAGGGAAGGCCTGCAAGTTCACCTCGCTGTCGTAGCCGACAGCGGGGGCCACCTCGCCGCCAGCGGGGGCGAGCTGGTGGACCAGGCGCGCCACAGCTTGCCAGTCGCCTGCCAGGGTGCCGTCGTCGAGGAAGAGGAAAGTCAGGTCCAAGGCGCCCTCGGCCGCGGGGGCGGGCTGGCGGATGGCTCTCTCCGCAGCGCGCTGCAACGCCAGGGAGAAGAGCAGCGGTCCGAGAGGGTCCCCCCAGAGGGCCAAGAGCGCCCGCCTCTCGAAGAGGCACAGCTGCAGGAGCACCATCTGGCAGGTTCTGGAAACCTTTCTTTTAATCGGCAGCGCGGACCGCGCCAGGGGCGCGCAAGGGCGGATGGAGAAGCAGAGGGCGGCCGCGGAGGCGGAGGGAGGAGGTGGGCCTGGCCGTCGAAAATTGACGAGAGGACGGGCGAAGGTTCTGGAAACCCGGAACCCATGAAGAATTCAATTTGTAATCTGTTGGGGGGGCTGGTCTTGCTCCCGCCGAGCTTCCCGTCTTTCGCCGCCTGTTATACCTCCGCCGGCCTCCCGCCAAGGACGAGGTGTCAACCCATTCGATCCTCGAAGGCGAGTGCGCCCCATTGACACAACACCTTTCAGCAAAACGCCCTTTACTGACAGCTGCCGGGGGCACTCCGCATGTGCGCGCGCCACCGCGATCCGAGCGCATCAAGGCAGAAAAACCAACCGACGTCCCAAAACAACCGAACGTATCCGGTAAGAGACACGTCGATTGGCGAAACCGACCGGGGATTGCACCAGCACGCTCGAATACCAATGTCGAATGAACTGGTGCAGATTTTGTCGGTAGACTTGTCTGGGTGGGCGCTCTCTCCATGCCCGACCATCCCAGGGCCTTGGAAAACCTCCGGAGAGCACGGCAGAATCTCGGACAACCCATAAGGCAAACAGGCCTCCTCCTCGACGACATCGACGACGAGTCGCCGCCGATTTGGCACGACCGAGGTGGGGATGGAGAAAATGGGCGCGAGGCCCGACAGCACGCTTTTGCCCCGAGCCGACGGAGCGGCACCGGCGCGAGCTGCGTGCAGACTGGAGGAGGAGGAGGGAGAGGAGAAGGACGAGGAGGAGGGGGAGGAGTAGGGGGAGAAGGAGGAGGAGGAAAAGGAGGAGGAGGAGCGAGCGTCCCTGGCGAACGCTCGCTCCTCCTCCGTGAGAATTGGAACGATACAGAGAATATTACTTACGCAGGACGAAAGATTTTCCTCTTGAGGTGAAAATGGCCATGAGGAGTTCGCGAGACAACGTCGGCGCCGCCGAACGGACGGCGACCAGACGAGCTGTTTGCAGCAACTGGGGGGGGGGATGTATGTATGTATTCATGTTGAATGGGGCCCGCTCGCGCGGGGAGTTGATTGGAGTGCGCGAGACGACGCAGGGTCCATCGTGGAAAATTGATGACCGAACCGCCCATCCCCTATAGAATCTTAACACGGGCGGTTTGCGGGGTCCGCGGATCCGATTTCTTCCGGCTCCCTGGTTTAATTTAATATTATAAATTTAAAACAGGGTGGAAATCGGATCCGCCGTAAAAAAAAAACGGACACGGATCCAGCGAATCCGAAATCGGATCCGCACGGACGGAAATCGGATCCACCGAAACAAACACCAAAACCACATTTGGATCCGCGCGAGCTTCATGATATCCGACGGCGGTTATCTCATACGGGTCTGCTCCAGACTTCACACCGTCGTTCTGGGCCCAAGAGGAAAAAACTTTCGTCCTGGGGATGAGCGTTTTGGCCCTCGGACTCGTTGGTTACCACATAGCCGACACACCACATCTCACACGCAATCCGTTGTTGGCTACCACACAGCCGACACCACATCTCACAGGCAATCCGTTGGGTGAGGAGACGCAGGGCCGAAACGCAGCGTTTTGGCCTTCGGACTCGTTGGTTACCACATAGCCGACACACCACATCTCACACGCAATCCGTTGTTGGTTACCACACAGCCGACACCACATCTCACAGGCAATCCGTTGGGTGAGGAGACGCAGGGCCGAAACGCACTGAGCGTTTTGGCCTTCGGACTCGTTGGTTACCACATAGCCGACACACCACATCTCACACGCAATCCGTTGTTGGTTACCACACAGCCGACACCACATCTCACAGGCAATCCGTTGGGTGAGGAGACGCAGGGCCGAAACGCACTAGCGTTTTGGCCTTCGGACTTGTTGCATACCACATACCGACACACCACATCTCACACGCAATCCGTTGTTGGTTACCACACAGCCGACACCACATCTCACAGGCAATCCGTTGGGTGAGGAGACGCAGGGCCGAAACGCAGCGTTTGGCCTTCGGACTCGTTGGTTACCACATAGCCGACACACCACATCTCACACGCAATCCGTTGTTGGTTACCACACAGCCGACACCACATCTCAAAGGCAATCCGTTGGGTGAGGAGACGCAGGGCCGAAACGCACTTACGCAGGACGAAAGATGTTCCTCTTGAGGTGAAAACGGCCATGAGGAGTTCGCGAGACAACGTCGGCGCAGCCGAACGGACGGCGACCAGACAAGCTGTTTGCAGCAACTTGGGGGGGGGGATGTATGTATGTATTCATGTTGAATGGGGCCCGCTCGCGCGGGGAGTTGATGGGAGTGCGCGAGACGACGCAGGGCCCATCGTGGAAAATTGATGACCGAACCCCCCTCCCCCATAGAATCTTAACACGGGCGGTTTGCGGGGTCCGCGGATCCGATTTCTTCCGGCTCCCTGGTTTAATACTATAAATTTATAACAGGTAAAAAAAAAAAAAAAAAAAAAAAACAAAAAAAAAAAAAAAAAAAAAAAAAAAAAAAAAAAAAAAAAAAAAAAAAAAAAAAAAAAAAAAAAAAAAAAAAAAAAAAAAAAAAAAAAAAAAAAAAAAAAACACGGACACGGACCCAGCGAATCCGAAATCGGATCCGCACGGACGGAAATCGGATCCACCGAAACAACCCAAAACCACATTTGGATCCGCGCGAGTTTCATGAGATCCGACGGCGGTTATCTCATACGGGTCTGCTCCAGACTTCACACCGTCGTTCCGGGCCCAAAAGGAAAAAACTTTCGTCCTGGGGATGAGCGTTTTGGCCCTCGGACTCGTTGGTTACCACATAGCCGACACACCACATCTCACACGCAATCCGTTGTTGGCTACCACACAGCCGACACCACATCTCACAGGCAATCCGTTGGGTGAGGAGACGCAGGGCCGAAACGCAGCGTTTTGGCCTTCGGATTCGTTGGTTACCACATAGCCGACACACCACATCTCACACGCAATCCGTTGGTTACCACACAGCCGACACCACATCTCACAGGCAATCCGTTGGGTGAGGAGACGCAGGGCCGAAACGCATGAGCGTTTTGGCCTTCGGACTCGTTGGTTACCACATAGCCGACACACCACATCTCACACGCAATCCGTTGTTGGCTACCACACAGCCGACACCACATCTCACAGGCAATCCGTTGGGTGAGGAGACGCAGGGCCGAAACGCACTAGCGTTTTGGCCTTCGGACTTGTTGCATACCACATAGCCGACACACCACATCTCACACGCAATCCGTTGTTGGTTACCACACAGCCGACACCACATCTCACAGGCAATCCGTTGGGTGATGAGACGCAGGGCCGAAACGTTTTGGCCTTCGGATTCGTTGGTTACCACATAGCCGACACACCACATCTCACACGCAATCCGTTGGTTACCACACAGCCGACACCACATCTCACAGGCAATCCGTTGGGTGAGGAGACGCAGGGCCGAAACGCAAGAGCGTGGCCTTCGACTCGTTGGTTACCACATAGCCGACACACCAATTCACACGCAATCCGTTGTTGGCTAACACACAGCCGACACCACATCCCACAGGCAATCGTTGGGTGAGGAGACGCAAGGCCGAAACGCACTAGCGTTTTGGCCTTCGGACTTGTTGCATACCACATAGCAGACACACCACATCTCACACGCAATCCGTTGTTGGTTACCACACAGCCGACACCACATCTCAAAGGCAATCCGTTGGGTGAGGAGAGGCAGGGCCGAAACGCACTTACGCAGGACGAAAGATTTTCCTCTTGAGGTGAAAATGGCCATGAGGAGTTCGCGAGACAACGTCGGCGCCGCCGAACGGACGGCGACCAGACGAGCTGTTTGCAGCAACTGGGGGGGGGGAATGTATGTATGTATTCATGTTGAATGGAGCCCGCTCGCGCGGGGAGTTGATGGGAGTGCGCGAGACGACGCAGGGCCCATCGTGGAAAATTGATGACCGAACCCCCCATCCCCCATAGAATCTTAACACGGGCGGTTTGCGGGGTCCGCGGATCCGATTTCTTCCGGCTCCCTGGTTTAATACTATAAATTTTAAACAGGGTAGAAATCGGATCCGCCGTAAAAAAAAAAAAAAAAAAAAAAACGGACACGGATCCAGCGAATCCGAAATCGGATCCGTACGGACGGAAATCGGATCCACCGAAACAAACACCAAAACCACATTTGGATCCGCGAGAGCTTCATGAGATCCGACGGCGGTTATCTCATACGGGTCTGCTCCAGACTTCACACCGTCGTTCTGGGCCCAAGAGGAAAAAACTTTCGTCCTGGGGATGTAGCATTGCCCCTGCGCAAGTCTGACACACACAAATCGAGAAACGTATACAATTGTTCGGATTCCCTTCGGGGATCATCCGTTAACATTGGAACGATGCAGAGAAGATTAGCATGGTCCCTGAAGTGTATAAGAGGAGGAGGAGGAGGAGGAGGAGGAGAAGAAGGAGGAGGAGGGGGAGGAAATGGAGGAGGCCGGATCTGCCGTCAGCCCTCGTTCGACGACTCCGACGGGTGTGTTCTGCAGAGGGTGCGCCTCGCAACCCGCGCCCTTGGGGAGCGGGCGAGGACCTGGACAGAGACCTCTGCCGCGCTCCGACGAGGGCTCGCCAAATGCGTGGCGCAACGTGGGGACCTCCTCAACTAGGAGAACGAAGAATGACATAAGCATAAAAACTCTGAGGTCCGCGCGGACCTCCGAGTTTGTATGTTTATGTCATTCTTCGTTCCCCTACAAGCCCCGACCGCGCCGATCGCAGACCACACCCTGGCGTAACCCCGCCCGTTGTCGTCGCCAGGTCGTCGCCGTGCTTTCAGTGCCCACCTCGACCCTCCCGGTGCAGTTGGCCGGGCTCGGGTGCGCCAGGAGAGGGGGCCAGGCACAGGGGGCTTGGCGCATCACAGCCCGAGGCATGCGCGCGCGGGCGAAGGGGGGAGGCCCGGGGACGTATTGGAAGAAGACGAAGAAGAAGACAAAGCAGAAGAAGAAGAAGAACAACAACAATAAGGAGAAGAGGAAGAGGAAGAGGAAGAAGATGAATAAGAAAAATAAGAAGACGAAGAAGAAGAAGAAGAGGAAGACGAACCGCCGGTAAAACGTAAAAGCTGCCTTGGCTGCAAAGCCGCTAGACGTCATGGTTTGCTGGAGAAGTCCGTGCCCGCCGTCGATGCAGACTGCCAGTCGGACTCTCGCCAACGGGCTGCGGGTCCCCGGTGCAGTGCCCCTCCAGCGCGGCGGACTGCGCCCCTCCGCTCCGAGCGTGCCGCGGGGCCTTCATGACGTCGGACAATCTTGCCTTCACCGTCCACTCGTTGGCGTCCTCAACGCCGACGTTGTGGTCCATGCTGAGCGCGACGGTGGCTTTGAAGCCATAGCTCAGTTGACCCGTGCTTTTGCGGGCCTGCTTCAGGCGAACGCCCCTGCACATCTGCGAGGAAGCGAAGTCCCCGCTGTGATACCCTGCGCTGAAGACTGCTTGCGCCCGCAAGATGAAGTCCTCTGGCTTGACAAACAGGTCCAGCAACCTGAACCCACTCTCGGGCAGCCCGACAAACGAGGCGAAGCGGGGGCAGCACGCGGTGACGGGGTAGCCGTCCTCGAGCACCTTGAAATACACGTCTATCTCCTCGGGCAAGTCGAGCTCATCCGAGACCTCCTCAATACTTGCAACGGAGGCTGGCCTCTTCGAGAGCGTCCTGAATTGCATGTGCATCTTCTCGCTCTTGCCGCGTTTCCTGACCACCTTGGTGTCGTACAGCTCCATTTTGGCCGTCCACAGATGCACGGCCGCGTCGGCGTCGTTGTGGAGCAGCGAGAGCACGGCCTCGGCGCTGAGCTCCCTATGGAGCCGATGCAGGTGCGGCGGCCTGAGCCTCACCTGTACGGATCGCTCCGTGTTCAGGTCCCGCCCCTTGCGCAGGGCGCTCTCACACAGCTCCTGCACGCGCTCGGCGAAGCTGTCTGCGCTGACCATCCACTCCATCAGCCTCGTCCCCAGCGCCGACGGCCCGCTTAGCACGGTGAAGCCTGCGGAGCACTTCTCCACCGGGTGGCCGGCCTCGAACAGCCTGAAATACACGGCCAGGTCCATGGTGTCGCTCTCCAGCTGAAGCGTCCTGACGCTCTCCCCGTCGGAGGGCGAGTGCTCCGCGAGCGGATCGGAGCACGCGGGGGTGGCGTGCGGAACATCTTCTGGAACATCCTTCGACGGGGGGGGCATCCGAAACGACTCCGCATCCTCCCGCACGCCCACCACGTGGAAGATCTGGTCGTCGAAGTCCTTGCCGCATATGTGGAACAGCTGGACCGTCACCTCGACACCGTTGGAATCCTTCATGGACGAGTGAAGCATGTCAGCGCCTGGGATGTCGCGGAGGAGGAACCCCCGCACACGCTCGGACTCCTCGCTGCAGGAGAAGAGGTCGAGGAAAGAGACATTCCTCATCCCGCCGCAGGAGAAAGGCCGGAGAAGCAGCGCGGCGAGGTGGGGCGACGGCTGCGTCATCCGCAGGTCCTCTCCCAAATGCACCACCGCGTCGCAAAGCTGGCTCAGCAGCCCATCCGCCGCGACCTCCACACTGTGGGACATCCTAGCCTCCAGCACGGCTTTGAACTGCGCGTAGCGCGCGCAGTCTATGGCGTACACGACGAAGAATATGACGGCGCAGGTGTAGAGATGGTAAGTAAGGTGCCACCCAGCGGTGTAATGGCAGCAGACAACCGTGGACGGCGCAGGTGTAGAGATGGTAAGTAAGGTGCCACCCAGCGGTGTAATGGCAGCAGACAACCGTGGATAGCAACACGTTCAAGCATGTGGTCATAGGAACTTCGCCGAGCATGATGCTAGCCCCAAGGCGAACCGGCGCTGTGACGGCCATCCAAGCAGCGATGTCCGCCGTGCCCTGCATGTGCGCCTCACAAGCAAGGCGCACGTACACCAGAGCCATTCCCAAACGGATGCAGCTGGGATTTTGAAGGCGCGGGAAGGCAAGCCAGAGAATCGCAACGAACTGCCTAAATACCAGTACCATCGACAGACTCCTCAGCTGCGTCGTGTCTACTTCGGAGGGTACCCCGCACCAAGACCAAACGAATACGGCCCAGAGGCGGTTACGAACGAAATGGTCGAGCAATAGAAATGTATTCAATCCTGCTACAAAAGGAAGCAATGCTCGGAAGAGGTCAACCCGTGATATGACGACCATCTGCTTTATCTTCTGGTCCAATGGGTCTGTGTCAGAATGCATGAGCAAAGTTTTCAGCATCCTGCGCGGGTGCTCAACATTCTTGCACACAGCGCAGATGCTCCCCTTGGGCAGTGAGCAAGCAATGAAGTAGCATGCGCAAGCAGACTGCACCGCTGCCAAAACCGATAGAACCTGGAGAATTAATAAGGCGACAGGCATGTAGGGCGCTGGCAAAGGAAAAAAAATGCCCTTTGGGCACGCAGCCAGCCAAGCCTTGACCTGGTGACCTGAGCCAACAGATCTGCGGAAGAAGAAGAAGAAGGAGGGCAGAAAAGGAATGCTAAGAAAAGAAGAAGAAGAAGAAGAAGCGGAGGTGGATGACATCTGGGAAACCCCATCACCCCAGCCATGATATCGGCGCCCCTCTCTTCGACGCCCGGTGATTCTCGGGTCATACCTCGGGCCCCCGACACCCTTCGGGACGACACGGGCACCCCTGCCATGCTCTCGACGAGGCGCAGCTGCTGGAAAAGCACCCCGAGGCGAGAAGGCCCTCGAGAACCAACGAAAACTCCCCCCCCCCGTCGACGGCGATATCTCCTCTCCCCCGCCTTCAGAGGCCTCCCAAGTGGGGTCCGAGTAGGTGGGGTCGGAGGATCGCGCCGCATCGCCGATGCATCGCCGATGCACTAGCGATGCACTAGCGAGGCATCGACGACGTCGGCGATGATCGGCCACGTCGGCAAAAAGAAAATCGAGCTCCACATTATGCCGCATCACCGATGTGTCGGCGATGCGGCGCGACCCTCCGACCCCTTCTGCTCGGACCCCATCTGGGAAGCCTAGAGCCTTGTCCTCACCATCCTCACCATCCTCGTGGACGCCCTTGACCCGAATGACTGGCCACCCGACAGAAAAAACGAGGCCCACCACCGACGAGGACACTCCAGATTGGCCCGCGCGGCGCCGGGGCTCACGACGGGGAGGACGACGACGACGACGACGACGACGACGACGACGACGACGACGACGACGACGACGCCGCCCTCCTGTCTTGGACGCCTCTGGCCCGATCGACTTCGGGGGCGTCCAAAAGGGGGGTGTCCAAGACGGGGGTTCTGGCAGCATGCCCCGAGGCATGTGCGCGGACGAGGGGAGAGCTATGGGACGCATTCATGAGGGGTAACGATAGGGGGGGTCTGGCATAAGGGGGGGGGACGTATCGACCTGAAATCGGCGACACATCGTCGATACATCGGCGATAGCCCTCCAATCGCACAACCGCACCTTGCTGGGCGGGGTGGGGCTATCAGACCCGTGTCGGCGATCAATGGGCGATTGGGGGTCGATGCATCCCCCCCTATGCCTATCCCCCCCTGTCCTTGCCCCCGAAAGGAAACAAAGAGAGGGGGCCGTGAAATCCGGGGAGGTCTCGTGGCCACGGCCAGGCTATCCACCCTCCTCTGGCATCACCCCCCTCTTGGACGCCTCCGACGACTGACCCAGCGCGGCTTGGCGGCGCGCACAAGGAAGTAGGGAGAGGGGGGGGGGAGGCTTCTCAGAAGGAGGCTGCTTCTCAGAAGGCGCCGGCCGCACATCTACAGACAAGGCCCGCGCCTTCTGGGAAGCAGGGGTGCTTCTGACAAGCCTTCCCCCTCCCCCCACCCCACTCTGCGCGTGGCCGAGCGGCCTCCCCACCCCCGCCCCGGGCGGGCCTTGGCCTGAGCCCGCGGGTCCGCCCGGGCCGCCCGGCGGGCCGGCGGGGAGGGCCTGCACAAGGGCATAGGAGGGGGGGGGCCCGCAGCGCGCCGGAGGGCTCGGTGGCGTGCCCCCTCGTTGTGGTCGTCGCCGCCGTGGTCGTCGCCGTCATCGTTGTCGCGGTCGTGGTCGTGGCCGTCGTCGCGGCTGGTCGTCGTGGTCGTGGTCGTGGTCGTGGTCGTGGTCGTGGTCGTCGTCGTGGCCGTGGTGGCGGTGGTCGTCGTCATCGTGGTCGTGGTCTCGGCCGTGGTCGTCGTCGCCGTCGTTGTCGTGATCGTGGTCATCGTGGTCGTTCGTGACCGTGGCCGTCATCGTCGTCATCGTCGCGATTCTGGTGACCGTGGTGGGGATAGAGGGAGGATGGAGAAGGAGGGAGGGGAGAAGAGGAGGAGATGGGGGAATGAATAAGGAGGGGCAGGGCGGGAGGAGATGGGGGCGGAGGAGAATGAGGAATGAGGATTCGGAGGTCTGCGAGGAGAGAGCAGGGAAGGAGGAGGCCGCGGAGGACAACGAGGAATAATTGATTGATTGAGTGATGATAGTGGTGATGATGATGGTGATGATGATGGCGATGATGATGAATTGAGTGTTGGGAACTCACGATTGCTGATGCCGACGATGATAACACTGATGCTGAGAATGGTAATGATGCTGATGATGCTGATGTTGATGTTGATGATGATGATGATGATGATGATGATGGTGATGATGATGATGATGATGATGCTGATGATGATGATGATGATGATAATGATGATGATGATGATGATGATGATGATGATGATGATGATGATGATGATGGTAATGATGAGGAGGATGATGGTGGTGACGATGATGACGATGATGACAACTACGACAATTACGATGATGATGATGATGATGCTGATGATGATGGTGAAGATGATAATGGTGATGATGATGATGATGATGATACTGATGATGATGATGAGTGGTGATTGGTGTTGATGGTGGTGATGACGACAACGATGATGCTGGTGTTGATGATGACGATGATGATGATGATGATGATGATGATGATGCTACGACTGATGATGAGGTGGTGATGGTGATGATGTGTGATGATGTGTGATGATGGTGATGGTGATGATGGTAATGGTGGTGTTGCTGCTAATGGTGATGATGATGATGATGGTGATGATGATGATGATGATGATGATGATGATGATAATGATGATGATGATGATGATGATGATGATGATGATGATGATGATGATGATGATGATGATGATGATTGTGGTGGTGGTGATGGTGGTGAACATGTTGATAATTGTGGTGATGATGACGAGGATGATGATTACGAAGAAGATGATGATTGATGATGATGAGGAGGAGGAGGAGGAGGAGAAGGAGGAGGAGCACGAGGAGGAAAGCGATGGCTGCACATCACCTCAATGATCAAAGGCCACCAGCTCGAGCTCAAGGATGAGGAGAAGGACGAGTCTTTTGCTAGGGACCGCCGCCACGCCGAGCTGCAGATTCGAGAATAGACGATTGGCAGACAGGAGCACCCGCCCTGTAGACACGCTGAAAGCGCGCACGTCGAAAGAACACGGGGAGATAAACCACTGAGCCCCAGGCTGCGCCCCGTCGGAACACAACCCCTCCCGTAAGAAAGCTTGCCATGAGAAAACAACGGGCACGTGCTTCGTTGATCCCTGGACTTTGTGTACTGGCGGTCCCTGGGGCCATCGTGAGTTATTACATTTTCGTGAGGCACCTGCTGACAGGCTGGTTTCTGATTTGGTGTACCTACTGCACAGCGTCTATCTGTGTCTCCCAACGGGAGGCAGGGAAGGAGACCGCAGGCGGGCCCGAGGGCTTCACCCCACCTCAGGCAGAGCAGGCTGGCCCCCACGAGCGAACAACCGCCTCCAGCAGCAGCTTCTTCCAGTCCCGCCGAATCGCGGGCGGTGTTCTGGGCCCGAGTCGGCTCAAAATGGCCGAACCGATCGGCCTCGCGCTCCTTGAGAAGAAGCCCGGGAGCGGCATCTGCGCACCGCCCGCAGCGAGAGCACCAACAGAATGCAAGAGGTCCTCCATTCGCCAAGGACACGCGCGGGAGCCACGCAAGAGGTGGCCGCTCCAGCCAAACCCGCCGAGGCGCTGTGGCGGACCAGCCCACGGACATCGTGCTACCGCAAGGCCAGATAAAGAACGAAGGGGCTTCTCTGGTCACGGCGAACCTCGGCCCGGAATCAGATCTGCCGGACAGATCTCAGGAACGGCCCGAAAACAAGAGCCCCTCATGAACCCAAAGTGGCCCCCTTCGCGGCGTCGTGACCGTGCCGCGCAAGCGCGAAGTGCTGCTCGCTCGGAGAGCCCCGCAGCGGGGGCGGGCAGCGGTACGCGGCACGACTACGGTCGGACCCAGGACAGAAGAACATCCCTCAAGGACATGAGATCCTCCGCCAACCACACCGAAGAGCACTCGAGGGTTACCCTCCCCCAGGATGCACAAGAACAGCCAACAGACACGAAGAACATGGGGGTGCCCTCCCCGAACCGACCTGCATCTTATGCCCCGGTCCGACCGTACCGGGGCCAGGCCCGCTGGCCCCCATCCCGAGGGGGGGAGGCCGAGGGCTCAAGCTCGCCCGCCCTCTTGGCAGCACAACTCGAGCTCGGCCTCGGGATGACCTCGGCCTGACCCCGAAGGCACCAGCCTCTGGCCACGCGCAGAGGAGGGTTAGGGGGAGGGGGGAAGGCTTCTCGGAAGGAGGCTGCTTCTCTGAAGGCGCGGGCCTCACGTCTACAGACAGGGCCCGTGCCTTCGAAGAAGCAGAGGTGCTTCTGAGAAGCCTTCCCCCCTGCCTCTACCCCACTCTTCTCTTCAGGAGGGGGAAAGAACGCAGACACAATGAATCGTCGATCCCACGGAAACGAGGGGAAAATATGGGAAGCTAGGGAGGGGGAGGGCGAAAACCTAGAAGATGTGCGAAGGTATGGGAAACCTTGGGACTTGTGTGTATTTACGTGTGTGC